ACTCAAAGCACAATTTACCGAAAGCCGTAGCCGGTCAGTTCAATGAACAGAACCACAATATCGACCAAGCAAAGCTTTACGTTCCACAAACTGATCTCTGGTCACCACTTAAGAGGAAATACATAGAAGCGTATCTGATACACAAATTTAAGTCCCTACACTCATCAGGAATCAAGATAGCACATGCGAATCTTGAATCGCTGAAAGCAATAAATAGCATATATGCGGCAATATTTACAGAGACAAGCTACGTTCAGCCTTCAAATGGGCATGACCGGCATTACATAAAATCGCTCCTAGCCTACATATTGTACTGTTATTATACTCTTTCAATTTTTCAATTATATAGATATGCTTGTGTCCATATACAACTACGAAGTTTTTATTTTCTAGAACCTTTCAACCACTGCTTGCTTTTCTGTTTCCTCGCTTCTACAACCACTTCTGCCATGCATCGTTAAGGCAATGGCCAACCCAGAAAGTTCTCTGCGTCTCCTCCTTTTTTTCCTTTATTTCGTGTGTTATCCCTTATGTCTCACTTACTCCCCCCCTGCCTTTTACTTTCCCTTTCTCCTCTTTCTTTTTGTGTTTCTCTCGTTGTTGTTCACATCCTTTGCATTATCAATTTCCATTTTTCTCCGCCAATCTACTGCCAAATTATTGAAGCAATTCCGCTGAGCGGGCCACTTCGAGGGTACCGATAGCACATTTTCGCCAGTGACTATCCCAATTAAACACGTGCTCTTCCGACCCCATCCGGTATGCTCACCTTCGACATCTTGTCACTTAAAAGTATGCCGCCTGCTTCAACCTCCTTTTAAAGACGATAGTCTTTCTTGGGAACCCTCGACGAAAAAATTTTGATGTCTGTTCTTTTGTCTGTTTGTCCACCATTAACAATATCGGGTACTATAAACGGCACCAGCTGATACACCAAACGGCCGACCACATCCGCAGCACCCACCAATGTTGCTCAAAATTCAGCGTTCATACTTGTGCGATTGTCAAATAACAAAAATTGGCCCGAATCTGCATGCCACACCAGCAAATGTCGTCGAAAGACGATAGTCTTGCGTCTGGAAAGAGTGAACAAAACGTGTTTTTGATGTTCTGCGCAAGAAAATTGGTGAATGGTATTTTGGAGGCAATGCGGTAGCGCCTCGAGCGTGTAGCGGGGGTGAACGAGCGCATCGAGGGACGTTAGACACGGGCGCCATCTGGCAGTTCGAAAACGAAGAAAGGCGTGCACGCCCGCAGAGAATTATGCGCGCTTGTCTCGGAGGTGATAAGGTGTAGAACGCAAAGCAACGGGCAGGTGCCACCACCATGTCATCTTAGAAAACCGTTGAAAGCACTTACCTTATTGAGCATCGCGTTGCAGTGTAAGCTCAGCGTGATAAACACTATGGTCCTTAGACTTGCTTGTGTGTTCCTTCTCTAGTATAAAGCCACACATACAAAACATCGACGTGTTGTTATGGTGCCGCGTGTATGCGCAATAATTGCTTTTTATTCGACAATCGCACAAGTATGATCGCTCAACCTTGAGCATTATTGGTGGGCGCTGCGGATAGGGTTGCCCATTTGATGCCTTTTGAGTTATCGGTAAGGACGGAAAACAATCAATTGTACAGACAGAGCCAGACAGACAGACCAAAATGTTTACGTCGAAGGTCTCCAAGGAAGACTACCGTCTTTAAAAATTGGCCCTGTATCTGCACGTTAATCTGGAAATGTGGTCGAAAGATGATAGTCTTTCGACGACATTTGCGATAGTGACCAGAACATTTATTTGATGTTCTGCGCAAGAACATCGGTGAATGGTATTCTGGTGGCACTGCGTTAGAGTGCCTCGAGCGTGCAACGGAGATGAACTAGTGCATTAAGTGAATTCACACGTGAGACAAGAGCACTATCTGGCAGTTTTCTTGCAAAACAAAGAGCGTGCCTCTGAGACGGGCTTGCGCGCCCGTCTCAGAGGTGATAAGGTGTAGAACATAAGGCGAGGGGAAGGTGAAACCACCGTGTCGTCTTCGCAAAGTGTTGGAAACACTCGCCTTTTCGTGCAAGTGTTTCATGGTCAGCGCAGCGGGATAAACGCTACATTTTTAAAATTATTTATGTATGCCTTTTTTAGTAAAAGACGAACATGCAGAATATCTACGTGTTATTATGGTGCCTCAGATATGCGCAATAATTATGTTTAAATTGGCAATCGCACAAGTATGAACGCTGACCCTTGAGCAACATTAGTGGGCACTGCGGATGGTGTCAGCCGTTTGGGGTATCGGGTGGTCGTCTTTAGAGTACCAAGAACCGTTAAGGGTGGGCAAGCAGACAAATGTACAGACACAAAGACAGACCAATCTTTTTGCGTCGAAGGTTCTCAAGAAAGCCTATTGTCTTTAAAAGCAATTGTTTCACATATCTGAGGCACCATAACAACCCGGGTGTATTCTGTATGTGCGTCTTTTACTAGAAAAGGCATAAATAAGTAATTCTAAGGACCATAGCGTTTATCACGGTGCCCCGACAATGCAACGCTTTCACGAAAAGGCTAGTGTTTCCAACGCTTTGCTAAGGCGACACGGCGGTGGCACCTACCCATCGCCTTGCGTTCTACTCCTCATCAAATTTGAGACGGGCGCGCATGCCCGTCTCAGAGCCGCACGTTTAATTTTCAAAGATAACTGCCAGATAGCGCTCAAGTCTGACGTGTGACGTGACTTGATGAACTAGTTCGCCTCTGCTGCACGCTCGAGGTACTCTAACACAGCGCCTCCAGAGTACCGTTCACTGGTTTTCTTGCGCAGAATATCAAATAAACGTTCTGTTCACTCTCTCCAGACGAAAGACTATCGTCTTTCAACGACATTTGCAGGATAACATGCAGACACGGGGCCAATTTTCGTTACCACTTTCTTGTTATGCGTCCCACTTGTAGGTGTTCGGGAACAGGCGTAAGCCGCTATCGTCGGCAATACTTTGTGGGAACCAGACGCGGCAACCGTCCGCAGGCTTCCAACTTTCGAGTTCTTTTCTTTTTTCGTGTCTGTAGCGGACAACACTTTGCAGCACACCACTACAAGTTAGCGTGTTTCTTCTTTCTTTTCTTTTTTTTCTTTTCCCCTTCGTCCCCCTTTTTTCTATTCTCGGAGAACATTTTGAACCACTATCACCTGACGTGAAATGAAGCGAAGACTGCCCTCTGCTGCTTTGGTTTTTTTTTTATTTTCAGGACGGCAATTGCCAACAGCGACACGCGCTACCACCAGAAGATGACGTCGCTATTAACCCCCTTAAAACTAAGACACCAGGGACGACAAGGTGCCTTTGACAAAGATGGGTCCTCCAATCGAACCGTCGGCCAGCCTGTCTGCGGCAGTTCCAATGTTCACGATGACTATCACATACGTGTTTCCATCTGTCGGATGCTAACTAGATTTTGGTTGATATACATGTTATAATTTTCATGTTATGAGTAATCTCACTTATGCTCATAATACAGTCATGTTATACCATATAAGTTTTGATATGATACTATCATCGGAACGGCCAGGAGAGCAAAACGTCTTAGGTGGCTAGGTAAATAGACAGGTACACAAAAAGTTGCTGAGGTTCGCTAAGAAACACTCCGAATTTAAAAGGAAAAACACAGCGTGAGTAAACTACACAGCAGTTTAAAGGCGCACTGGAAAACTACGTAGTAATAGTAACTGAACTTTAAGCCCACTACGGTTCTGTAGTAATAAACCAACGCAAAACAAAACATAAAAAACTCTGAATCGTTCACAAGTTTTCAGTAGATACTTCAGGCAAAAAGTAGCATGCTTTTACAAGGGTAGCATATCTCACAGCTTAAGCCACATGCGCTTGTTGGCATTAATTTCTGGCTTCAAGGCCTCACTCGACGCCGAATTTTATTTTACTGGAGCTTACCCGGATTCCGTTAAAGGTAACATGACCCTGCAGATCTAATGAGCGTCCACGGTAGAACTTAAAGACGACTTGAAGTTCTGAAGCGTGCCATACCGTCGCATCGCCAGGGCCGCTCCGATTCTCGCGCGCTCTTGAGAACGCTTCTAGTGGTTTTTCCTGCCCGTATATCAACTTTCCGAAGCAGAATCACTATACCTGTAAATGTATTGAAGGACTCTAGTAGGACTAATTGTATTTTTTCATTTAGCTGGGAAGTATAAACACGTACAAGGGATATACTGATGGTCATACGATGTGACAGGCATGTGCTTAGTGAGTGCTTTTTTGAAAGCACATGCATTTTACGAAATTGTCATTTCATTAGTCACATATCCATTCTTCAACCTGCTGTGGTTTCAGCCAAGTCTTCAACTTCAGCAAACTTTTGAACATCTTTGAAGGCAACTTTTGTTTTGTCTGAAATTTCTTCACTTCAGCTGAATGCCACTGATGAAGTGCTCGTGTGGATGCAGAATGGATTACGATGAGAAAATGTGCATGTTTGTGAAAATAATTTATTAGGGCCGAAGCTCCTTAAGGCCTAGCCTTGTAAGCGTCTGTCACGCCTCATAAAAAACGAAACTGAAACACCTGCACAACAAAATTGAAAACAATATGTGTAAGAAACCTGACTTCATAGGTAAATAAATCTAGTATAATACTGCACAATACACTATCACCTGCGCCGTTCGTGCGTCAGTTCATCCACCTGTCCATCAATATGGCATCCTTTGTACTGGACGGCGACTTCAACGTAGACATTATGCAGTTTAGGAGATAGCGTAGCCCACTCATGATTACTCACTTCGTGGGGATGCGTGGTTTTAGCACATCTGCTGGGCAGTGAAATAGTTGTGTTTTGAAGCGAAATAAAGCAATAAATAATTTCGATTTCAAATCAAACTTTTTTTATGGCAAATTAGCATTTAATTATTTTATTCAGTAGTAATACACTACATGTGTGAGCAATCTTATCTATAATTATATTTTCTGTGTCAATTTTCCAAAGTGGATATGAGCCAATGGTAAAGACTATTATCACCATCACCATCATCAAGAAGCATTCGCCCCAATCGATGGTCGGGAGGAAAAATAAACCAACCAGCCACCACGACAACACCAGCAGAATGTTGCATGGGCGGGCCCAACAGCTGCTCATTTTCGTAGCCTCTGCAGCAGCCACCTTCGGAGCTATCACGCTGGCTGTGCTACTCATACGCAAGATAGGCGCCCACATTTCCGGTGACGCGCTGCTCGTCGACCCCAATGCCCGGTACACGGTGCGGCTTGAGCGCAAGATCCCCGTCACTCACAACGTTCGCCTGCTGCGCTTCTCTCTGCGTAGCCGCTACCAGGTACGCAGTCGGAGAAGGCGTGTCTCTCGTTTTTCGGCAAACTTTGAAATACATGTGCCACTTATGCCGCACATGCGGGTTTGTTATTCGAGTATTTTTTGTTTTCGTTTGCTCACCGTTCAGTAAATGATATGAAGAGGGCGTGAGTGGTCAGGTGCAAGCTCAAGACCACTGCTTCTACCTACACAGCAGCTTTCTATAGAATATAGACTAAAAACGTGGCAGCGCGTCGTGTCTAGGCTGGCAAAAATGCGCACTCACCCAGCGCACGACCACACAAGGTGTTTGTATAAGCAATGTTCTCCAATCACGTGACCAAATGAGAATCGTTTTACGCTGTAGCGAAATACCTGCCGCCATTGCGTCATAATAATGTTGCAGCTTTGTGTCGCAGCAGGCGAGAATTTCAGCAAGTCACTGAAACAATAACCGAGGGTGAAATGTATGTTGCGACAAAGCTGTCTTTTCGTAGTATGCGCCGTGGTTGAGTACTACTAGTAGTTGTAGTAGAAGGCCTCCGCCGAAGCGTCAGTGACTGAGTGAGGAGGCCACTTGATCTCTCATTCACAAATAAAGTCTAACCACGCGCTTTTAAAAAAAGCATTGATTTCGCAATTTCGCGTGGCTAGATCCGCCGGGTACCCACAACATCCTAATTATTGCGGTAGCTATTTTATGAACAGTCACGGCTGGTTTTTGCCGTTGCCGCCACTGTCATTCACGTATATGTATATGTATCTATATATAAGAGAAGGATGCACTAGCCTCCTCTTTCTGCGGAGCTAACATCGCAGTTCCGGCCAGCGTCTTCTGCGCACGAGCTTATCTTGTGAGCGAACAAGGAGAGAGGGGCGGTCGTGGTTTGCGCGCTGTGGCAGCAACCACCGGCGAGCGGATCTTGCCACCACAGGAGGCGGCAGCTTTTATGGGCTGTGCTCTCATCACAAAAAGCTGTGTCAAAAGTGTTCCTGGAGCGGCCGTCAACATATACATGGGCTATACACATAACGAAGTGCCACAAGTGGCGGCACACGACGTATAGCCCTTAGTAAAAGTGTGCGCTGCTCATAGGAGGCGCTTCTCATCAACGTTTCTCATCAGCACTACGAACGAGCCTTGTTGTGGTCATCTACTGTGTCTACACCGCACGAAACTTGGTTTCTAAGAAAGCGCATGTTTATTACAAATAATATTGATCAAAAAATGCTAACCTTGCTTCGTAAAATATTGAATATGTTGTTACTACGTTCATTGCTACGCCCTTTTGACTTTTTCGTAATCCTTGGCTTCACAACATCCCTTGATCTCGCTAGCCATTCAGATCGAAGGAATAATGCCTTTTTGTACCCTTACGTGTTGTCACAAGCCGATCATAGAGAGCCGTGCGTATAGGCTACGCTTCATTATAGATAGGTATATCATTGGTGGTACGTGATGGCGAGCAGCATGTTGCTTACAAAGACCCTGTGCAGAGGCTGGGAATCCACGTCGGTCAACACCTGCTTGTCTGCGCGAGTATTCACGGCTGCCCGGTGACTAGACATTACACTCCTGTGACCCGGTGTGATCAAACGGGCCACTTCGACATCATCGTCAAGGTGTACCGCATGGGCGAGTCCGAGGAACACCTCGAAGGGGGCCTCATGTCCCAGTTTCTGGACTCAATGCGCCGAGGGGAGAAATTGAAGGTAGGAATCAAGGTATTTCTCACAAGAGTAGAAGCTTGGGCTAGTTGGTGCATAGTCATAATTGTAAGATAATTCAGCGCGCAATTAAAAGAAAAAGGACAGGGTAGACAGAAAGATGATGATGATGAACAAACTTTATTTAATTAGCAGAAAGGTCCTCTTCCCCTTTCAGGTGCGAGAGGAGAAGGGAGGACCAAACTTAGACGACGGCCATGATCCCATGAGCTCTGGCGGCGTCTTCGGCCTGCCGTATTAAGCGGGCTTGTAATTGAGAGTCAGAGCTGAGGAGCGTGGCATCCCATCCACTCCCGTCTGGAAATTCGCCTCTCATGGGGGCCTTCGGGCATGCCCATAACATGTGGCTCATGTCCGCCCTGTTGTGGCAAAATTTACACTTGTCCGTATGAAGTTCCGGCACGCAGCGGTTTATTGTTACCGGACTAGAAAACGTGTGGGTCTGGAGTAGGCGCCACGCCACCGCCTGTCCTTTGTTCAATGACGAGTGTGCGGGAGGATAAATTTTCCTGCTTAGCCTGTAAAACTGCGTAATATCTCTGTAAGTGGTCATCCGCTCAAATCTCTCATCGTTCTCCCCGTTCAACCAGGACAATCCAGAGGCTCGGTCTGTAAGTCCTCGAGCTGTCTGGTGTGCAGCCTCATTGCCGGGCAAGGAGGAGTGAGCGGGTGTCCAGACTATTTCTATTGTTCGTTGATATTTGCATCCAGCCAATATTCTTAAAGCTATTTGGGATATTCGCCCACGTGCAAAGTTTCTCACAGCCGTCTGCGAGTCGCTAACAATGAGTGAAGTCGAGGTGGATGCTATGGTCATTGCAATAGTTGCTTCCTCCGCCTCTTCTGCAAAGCTCGTTCTCACCGAGCGGCTGACCTTATGATTTCCTTTGTAGTCCACTACTGCTATAGTCATGTTGTCATTTCCTTTGTATTTTGCCGCGTCTACGTATGTTGTTTCCGGTAAATCTTTTACATTGTTATGTATATTTTTCGCTCTTTCAGCTCTCCTTGCTCTGTGATGTTCGGGATGCATGTTTTTTGGAATCGGTAAGATTACTAAATATTTCCTGATTTCATACGGTATATCCTTTTTGGCGCCAAATTGATTTGCGTAGCTTATACCCAGTTCCTCTAGTATGGCTCTACCTGTTTTACTCTGCGTTAGTCTTTCATATTGTGCGATTCTTTGAGCTTCTGTAAGCTCTTCTGATGTGTTGTGAAGCCCTAATTGAAGTAATTTATCATTAGAGGTAGTAAATGGAAGTCCGATTGCCTGTTTGAAAACTCTTCTAATGATTCGGTCAATCTTTTCTCTCTCGGCCACTTGCAGTCTGAGGTACGGAATCACATATACAATACGACTGATGACAAAAGCCTGTACCAGTCTTATAATATTATTTTCTTTCATACCATAGTGCCGGTTTGCAATTCGTTTAAGTAGACGCATAGTTTGCTGCGCACTGGATTCAAGTATTCTAATCGCCTCTCCGTTGTGCCCAGTTTGAGCTGATTCGGAGTCCCAGAATTCTTGTGCTTTCGACCGTAGGTATTTGCCTTTTTCCAACAAAGACAATAATGTTAGGTTTTTCCTGGATGCTTTTCCGACCCCTACATGTCCGGTTATGGAAGAGAAGTTCCGATTTTTCCGGTGAACATTGTAATCTTGTATGGATGGCATATTCTTCTACAACATTCACTGCTGTTTGTAAAGTTTCCTCTATGTATCCGTCAGTACCCTCTGCTACCCATAAGGTAATGTCATCTGCATAGAGGCTATGGTGGAGTCCTGGAATTTCCTTCAGTCTGGTAGAGAGACCTATCATGGCCACGTTAAAAAGAAAGGGGAATAGGACTGAGCCTTGCGGCGTACCTCTGCTGCCCAGACTAAACTCTTGGAATTCTGCTTCGCCTAGTATTATTCTTGCAGTCCGGTCAGTTAAAAAGTCTTTTATATAATTGTATACTCTTTTTTCTGCCCCTAACGCTTAAAGATTGGCAAGTATAGCTTTATGTGATGTATTATCGAATGCCTTTTTAATATCTAGGCCAACTATTACCTTTATGTTGTGTGTATTGAGACCCGAATCAATTATTTGGTGTTAATCTTAAGCATAACGTCCTGTGTAGACAGTTTCGCTCTGAAGTAGACAGAAAGAGCAGTGTTTTTTTCCATCGTCATCTGTTCTCGACGCTCTTTCTGTCTACCCTGTCCTTTATCCTTTGTTCGCGCGCTAAAACATCTTGCAATTCAGGTATTTCTGCCGGGTAAGCGTTCGCGCTAGTTTTAAACCACTGCTTCAGTCAATAGAAATGCCTCTGCAAAGTAGAAATTGTGCTTAACCTCTAATTGTACGAATTCTAACCTATCGGGATCAAGCCTGGAATGAAACAAGGACACTTGAGAAAATTAGGAACCACCCTAGTGACCACCCAGTGTACTGTCAAAAAATAACAATTAGGAGAGAAGGACACCCGAGTACGCAGGGAACACGCTTGCTAGCCGATATCCTATGGCAGATATAAGGAGAGAAAAGTGGACCTTACCAGATCATGCTGTAAGGAGGGAAGGTGCCGACAGAAATCACGTAATGAGGGTCAGGTCATGAGGGTCGGGTCGTCAGATCAGCTAGGACGTCATTCCCACTGAAAGGTGTTAGAAACACCAGCATTTATAACTAACTCACAAGTCTGCTAGGGAAAGTATAGATTCATGACATTTGTATGAGTTACAATTGGAACATTAAAAATAAAGTGGGTGAAAAGAAAAGTTGCCGCCAATGAAGACCGAAAATGTCTTCCAATAATGTGTCCGACGCTCTACGAACTCAGCTGCAGCAGCGGTCATTTGCACGCAGACTTTATGGGGTTCGTTCTGCTACATATGCTTTTTAAAACGAAGCATTTCTTAGCGAACTTCAGCGACTTTGAGAGCATCTATCTATCTATCTATCTATCTATCTATCTATCTATCTATCTATCTATCTATCTATCTATCTATCTATCTATCTATCTATCTGCCTACGACTTTCAGCTCTCCTGGCCGTTTCGGTATTTGTATCTATACCAAACTTGGCTGCTCTTGCGGTGGTTTCGTTCACATGGCCCGTTGCAAAACTAGTATGGTGTGACATGATTCCATGCCGAACACATGCGACCGACCCTAACATGAAAATCATTACATGCGTACCAAGTAACAACATGACTGCATGCCAAGCTCATGATGCGCTCGCGGCCGTTTCACTAGCGTCACATATTCCAACTTTGGTATTCCGGGACGGGAATGAATGATGAAGGTATGATACTGGTGCAAACATGATAATCATGACATGCGTGTCATGTAACAACATGACTGCATGCCACGCTCATGATGCGCTTGCGGCCACTTCGTTAGCGTCAGATATTCTCATTTGGTATAACGGGACGAGAATGGATGACGAAGGTATGATACTGCAGCAAACATGATAATGATGAGATGCGTGTCATGTAACAACATGGCTTCGTGCTGAACTCATGATGCACTCATGGCCGTTTCGCTAGCTTCACATGTACCAAACTCGGTATTACAGGACGCAAAAGGACGATATAGGTAAATGACACATCCAAACATGATGACCATGACATGCGCGTCGTGTTACAACAAGACTGCATGCCACACTGATGATGCACTCGCGGCCGTTTCGCTACTTCACATATGCCAAATTCAGTATTACGTGACGGCAATGGATGACAAAGGTATGTGACTGGTGCAAACATGATAATCATGAGATGCGTGTCATGTAACAACATGACTACATGCCATGCTCATGATGCACTGGTGGCCGTTTCGCTAGCTTCACTTATACCAAATTTGGCATTACGGGACGTGAATAAATCACGAAGGTATGATACTGGTGCAAACATGGATAAAGGTGAGATGCTTGTTATGTAACACGACTACATGCTACGCTTATGATGCGCGCACGGCCTTTTCGTCGCGTAACTCTGGCGTTGCCACTCCAGGCGCCGTTCCTGCCATATACTCGCAGGCGTTCGTCGTGCTGCGTGGCTTTGACTCATGCACGTTTCAGCGCGTCCGGCGTCCCTTCGTCACGAAAAGAGGGAGGCGCAGTGTTATCTGGGTAATGCATCGCTGCGAAATTCAGCATGTCACATTTCGCGCCGGTTGCCATTGGGTCGCGTCGACGGACGCTGGTCGTGCCGGTCGCACCCTGCGTCAGAGTAAAGAGTTCTCGCGTTTTGCTAAGGTAGCGTCACTGTGCCTAGTGTGCGCGTGCTTCAACGCTCCATTGGAGTATATTGAGCCCTTCATGACGCACTCGCGGCAATTTTTTAGCTCCACATATACCAACTGTGGTGTTACTTGACTTTAATGGATGACGAAAGTATATGACTGGTGCGAACACGATAACCCTGACACGCATGTCATGTAAAAATATGACAACATACAACGCTCATAGCATGCTGGCGGCCGTTTCACTATCTCCACATATACTAATCTGGTATCACGTGACGTGAATAGATGAAGATATATGGCACATCCAAACATGATAGTCATGACACGGAAATTGTGTACGGCGTCATTTGCCTCCACCTCGTAAGGTTATGCTGACTTCGAAGTGGCATATAAACCTTTTTCATTCGTTTTTTGCATATCATTGATTCCCACTGTACGTGGGATCTGCCTTTTTAATTTATTTTTTATGTCACCTTCCCAATACAATAGAACCTTTGCGTTGCTAAGGCTCGGGCTATTGACTGCCACTTGTCTAGATAGTGTTACCACCTTCTGGTGTGTTCACAAGCACAACACGGGCACTTCAGTTAGTTCTGGAACTTGCGTGACCGCTGCGGATAATGCTGAACTATTTAATGGTACATGTGTAAACGCTGACGTGCATGGCCACTGATATGTTTATAGATGGCATACGTTCTATTGGCCGATATCAGTGACAGCCCGCACTGCTTGCTGTAGTTATATTTACCATTTTTCGGCCACTGGTACCGCTAAATAAAGTTTTTCATTCTGGAGACGCCATCACTGTCTTTGTCGACGTCAGAACCACGTGGCAGTGTGTCATACTCCCAATAATTCTCTGGCGTATACATGTGCGTAAATTGGCACACTCCATAAAACGGACGGGGGACGACCAGCCCGTGTAGCTCAATTGGTGTTTCATCGGAGGCTTTATTCGAAGGTAGCAGGTTCGGCATAAGAAAGCGGCCAGTTTATTTTCATTCGCTTCCTTAGTCTTTACCTAATAAATACACTCTAAACGTGGTAACAGATAGATGTCAACTTGTGCACCTATGGTAAGGTTTTCTTAGAATACAGTGCATACATTCTATACCTAATAACCCCTAATAAAGTTGAGCTAAATCGCATATATCCATTACCTAGTTTAGAGCGTACTACGGTTGACATTCCCATTACGTTCCTTGTCTTTCTTGTCGATTAGTTCTGATTTATGTTACGTTTAACTAAAAAAATGAGCCCCTGTATCGTTTATTCTTTTGTACAAGTGACATGAAGCACCGCTGATTAAGGCAGAAGATACCTGCAGCTATCTTCTTAAAAAATTTGAGAACTAATATGGTATTCTCTGGAGCAAGATGAGGTAAGTGGGAGATCATTATTAAAAAATAATCCTGCATTAGACATAGCATGCTCAAGCTGTTGATGGGATCATGATTATGATGATGACACGTGTAAAATTAGATTAGGGCTGCAATTATACAGGGACTATGAAAGATGCTTGGCTTTATTATTCTATCACGAGTCAGATGAGTTCAGTAAGCCTACCAGGTCAAATTTCAGGCATGAGAAAAACAGGGTTCGTTTCTTTGAAGCATATGATAAATTTTTTGTTGTAGTTAGGTGCTACTGAAGCGAAGACAGAAATTTTTAGCTATCGGAAGTAGAAACTCCTGTATGACAATGAAAAGCATAAAAGTGGTTTGGCCAGCATCAACTCATAATCAATGAAAACTGAAAGGGCCGAGTCAGAATCATTACAAAAAGTGCAACACAGAACATGTCAAAAAAGACGTATCAGGAGAAGGAGAAGAAGAAGACAATATTTATTAAAAATCCGACGACATTGGTGAGGCGAATTCCACGCCTAGGTGTCAGCCAGGAGCCCTTGGGCTCTGGCAGCGTCCTCGGCCCGTTGAATTAGGAACATTACAAACTCGTATGAATATTTTTCGTCACTGCTGCCTATAAAATTAAAATTGCCTTCTTTACATGATCAGCAGTTTTCCTGAAAAGATTTGCAAAAACAGAAAATTTGAAGCCATTCTTGGTGTTATTTTTTTTTCTTTTCACCCCAAAAGACTTGACAAAAACACATCTGCAACGTATGCGACAGTTTTTAGGTAAAAGAAAAATCATTACACAAACTTGCATTCATTGCTCGATGACCTCATATCTTCTACATGAATGCCTGCTTGTTCACTGCTTCGTCAACAGTTATATGAAAGTCAAAATGTAGCGCGTAGGTTTCGCGTGCACTATGCATAAGTATTGCATTCTTTCCGACATTCATAGTTCCAAAGCATTATGAATGTTGTCTGCTGTTTGTTGCAACTATGAATAAAAAAGCAGGTGTTCATGCAGAAAGTATGAGGTCTCCTTTGGGAGATCAGTGAAAGTAGGCGACTTCCTTCAATGTATTTCTTCCACCAAGGTACAGACAAAATTCCACGTGAAGCAGTAAAAATACCATTTAAAACATGTTTCTTCCTGTGACTCACCCGTCTCACTGTTTCTCACCGTTTCCCTTCATCTCATATGGACACATATCCACGAACTATGTGCGATGCTGCAAAATTGTAGTTAGCTCAGAAGATTGAATTTAGCTTTGTGTGATTATAGTTGAAGGATTTGAAGGACGGTTCCTTCACGGCACAACCTAAAATATATTCATGGTTCATATAACCTCAAAATGATATCTGTTTTGAACATCCGCTCATGCGACCGTTAGTTACCTTCACTGCTCCGGCTGTTCATAGAAATTTGATTGGTTGCAGTCAAATCGTTTACCAAAAATGATTCTAAGATATTCTCTGAGTGGCATCCTCTAATTGAGAGTCCGTGCACTTTGTGATTCTTTGTGCATTAGGTACATACGATAGATTGAACGACAAAAATGGCAAATGAACTAACATAAAAATACAAAATAGTCGCTGCACTGCCATTCAACAAACTTGCTCAAAAGTGTAAACGGAGACAGACAACTTGAAGCTACGTTGATGCTCTTTGTTCTGTAATGATACCATATCAGCAATGATTGCAAATTGATCGTAGATGCAATCTAATATTTGGCGTGTACACGAACCGGACGTATGATTTATTATTTTCTCGTTTTTACATTTGACCACAGATTCAGGGCCCACGAGGCAGCTTCATTTACGAAGGCAAGGGGCGTTTCGTGACGGTCGACGGAAGCCGACTGCCGAAAGCAACCTGGATTGGACTGATCGCAGCGGGAAGTGGCATCACGCCAATGCTGCAGTTTCTGCGTCACGCTCTGGTGGATCACAAAGACGAAACTAAAATCGAGATGATTGACGTGAACAGCACGGAAGACGACATAATCGCGCGTCGGGAGCTAGACCACTACACCAAGGCCCATGCCGAGCGATTCAGGTGAGCAGCTGAGCCCTGTTATTTCGATAAGCGAGGGGTAACCACAGCACAACCGACACGCTTGGTCAGTGTGCAGGGCGCTGAACCGCTTGGCTCGGTACTTCTTGTGTGCTCATCTGGAGTCACGCAGGATTGAGCAAGCAATAAGAACGAAAGCAAAGCGATTTTCTAAGATCACGTGGTCACAATATTTTTGGCTCACAAAAAAAGGCAATCCTTAATCGTGTGAATATATAGTGTCTGCGTTGTGCCTTCAGGCATTCGAATTGATGGATGAAATAAATCAAATAAAAATATTTAATTGTTATGGAGGCTTGTTAGCACTCTTTAATTGTTGAGTTTTTCCCAAACGTGTCCATCTTGGTGAAACAGTGGCTATTGTGCTCGGTCGCTGGTTCGTTTCCAGTCGTGGCGATACGATTTTGATGGAGGCCAAATGCCAGAGGCTCGTTTACTGTGCAGTGGAAGTGCAAGTTGAACAGCATATGGTGGCGATTACCTCTACTACGGCATCTCTCATCATCCCTGAATGAAAATTACCAGTGCAAACACGGAACACGTGCGTTTCGTTTCCTTTCTCTCTAGGGCTTGTTCTGTGATTGAGCTGTTAATTTTAATTCACATATGCGTACCAACGAGACCAAAATAATGTTTTACTAAAGTTATTTCATGTCAACATTCGAGTTTCGGATCGTAAGGCCCTATATATTATGAGTTTCCCAAATACTTATTGGCGACAATAATAGTTAGCAGTTGTAAGTGTTGTGTTATCAGCCTCCTTCCTTAATAGTACGATCTAGTTGTACAGGTGGTCTGCGCACACGATTCTGAACCTTTTACATCCATGGTTCTGCAGCCTCTGTCACGTACTGAGCAAGCCGCCAGCAGGTGAGGGTGCTACTGGGTACGTGCCGGGCCCCCTGACTGCTGGCATGATGGCTGAATACCTTCCTCCGCCGAACAACGATACTCTGGTGCTCTTGTGTGGACCGAGTCGCTTTCTGAGTGAACTGTGCAAGCCGGCACTCAGCAACATTGGACACAAGCCTCAGAGGGTGCTCTGCTACTGAGTGGCGACCCAACATTAGGGTCGCACAAGTGTATGAATCTAGTAACCTCAAAATGTTTCGAAATAATCTTTATCGTACATCATCGATGTTACCTTAAGTCTTTGTTCTGTGTATATATGCTGGAAAATTTGCAAGTACCAAGAGCTGACACATATTACGGCACAAGAAAAGATACCTCAGCTACACTTATTCAATCAATATAAGTAATATATGGCTAATTAAGAAAAACAACACAGGCTCATCTCATAATAAAATAACAGACACTGAGCCTATCAAATAGCTGCCACAATCAGCACACACATGCGCATTGGTCTTGGAGATATGCGTTACCCCGGGCAATGTAGTAATTCTGGCAGTTTTAACGCGCTAATGTGCTAAAGAACAAACATTAAAAATGATTAGATGTGAGTGAGCATTGCACCGAGACTGTATGCGTGGCAAGCAGGTGTTCTGTCTTGGGGCTACGTGATTTGTTGAAACTGCTTCGAAAGAAAAAGAAAAAGAAAGACACTATCTGAATATCATTTTGAAGAGGGAGTCTGCTTAACGCATCATGTATTGCGTGGCATAAGCATAGAATACCGCCAGGTGTTCTGATGTGTGAATTGAGCAACATGAGCGTGTTTCAAATACCTTGTTAGAACAAAACGCTCAAACATATTTATTCAGTCGTCATCAGCACCAGACTTATTAACAGCGTGAGCAGCCACGTAGGTTCCCGTGTTGCCCAACGCATGAGTTGTGGCCCCTTCACTTATTTGAAAAAAAAATAATTGTGGTACAGTGGGCACTTCACCTCCGTTCTTGCTGTATACATTCAATAACACTTCGAAACGGACAATGCTAAGGCACAGTTTTTTTTGTCCTACGATAGGGATGAGGCATGCACCGAGAACCTGAGCAGGCTAGCTGTATACAGACGGTGATGTACGCGATTCCCGATAGTGCACCTCTGGTCTATTTGTTTTACTTCCCGATTGTGCAATATGGTCATGAAAGTGAAGCTCGAGCTTCATCCACGTTTTTGTGTTTAAGGAACACCTCATCTTGCCCAACTACCACGAGTAAGTGCCCAATCCATCTTGACCTATACCATGAGGGTGTAAGTGAAATCCAGTAATTCTTCCCATATAAATCACCATTAAGCTTTAATGCCTGGGAGGCTGCGCTGCTTGGCGCAAGCTTGTTCTACGATAGGGAGCTGAGGAGTCACCTCGTACAGCCACCAAACTCTGGAGAGCCATGTATTGATGATCTAAGATTGACTTACTGAGATTCAGCAGAGGCATTCACAGTGAAATTTTTTTCCTTCCTTCACGTGCCTGTGTGATTCAGTGGTATTAATACGTTGAATCATCTTTGGTGATTTGGCAGTGCCGCCTACGCAGCTGTCTCATTTGGTAGTATTCTATGCACCTTGTTTTTCAGAGCAAATCTGCGTGTTGTATATTAAGACTCCGCCGTCACAGAATTTCTTGTATTTTCGTACGCACTTACGAGGGTAGTTGTCCTTATATGCATTGTTGACCCATAGCATGCACTCTGAAAAAAAAAGGAAGGTACTAAAATAGCAGAAAATTGTGACACGCTCAACGAAGGAAGAAAGCAGACGCCTAGGACATGACATTACTTTCATGTGTTTCACAATGTAAATTTCCTAAGACCTACTGCTTCATCTTCAGTGCGTGGACACTGCTAGCTGGTTGCAATTGCAGAAGGTGAGAAAAGCATGGAGGGAAAACAGGGTTAAACAAGTATATGTCAGAACCCGAAGAGATAACGTTTGTTCACAGTAAGCTTGTGAAACGGCTTTCGCGAAAGCGTGGTCATCCAACCGATCAGACAAGTGCAATACACTTGCATAAAATGACCTGATGTCAAATCACGACTATAGCCTTAGGAGCAACACAGGGGCTACCATTTGCTTCGCGGGTAAGGGGGATTACTATCTTTTTCCTGTGACATTAGCTCAATTTTTTTTGTTGCTAACCCCCAAGGCATAGCACTTGGGCCAGTCACATATGCCTGTTCACTTGATTGTATACTATTAGCTAATAAATATGAAAGCTCTGACTAATAATATGCCCGCCTAACTGCTGCTAATATTTTAGGGGTTTTAGTCCTACATCATTTGCGTCAATTTGAGGCACCCGTGTATTTTTATGTGAATCATGCTTAAGCATGAAACTACATAAATACGAATCTTTTGAAAAAAAATATCATGAAATCGCACTAGATAGATGTGATGTATCGGAGTCAGCAACAGAAGCTGCAAATTGAATATTTTAAACTTCCTTACGGCCTCCGAGATCTCCACTTTTCAGAATGAAGCACTTCCTGTAGTCAGTGTAAGGAACGGTTGCTGTAAAAGGATTGTCAGGATCTGAAAAAAATAGAGCATTGCAGCAGAAGATATATAGAACGTAGTGCAGGGCTTGTTCCCATGTCATGGTTAGATAAATATTCAAATAATTTCATGCTCTAAATAACAATTCGACAGATCTAGCGCCTTGTGGAAATCGGTTTCATGCGAAGCAGTCAGTGAGTAATCTTTCTGTGCTGCACGTTTTGGCTTTCAGCCAAGCATTACGACGTGGACCAACATGTCTATAACGCAATAGCATCAAAGAGCTTGTTTTGCAGAAATGCCGGTGTTGGTGTTAATGAGGGCGCTAGCGATGGCGTCTGTGGCTGTGAGCGAAAAATGGTCATTTTTTTCGTGACTAAAAAACTGAGAAATTTGCCAATAAAAATAATAAATATTATTAGTTTGAGTGAGGATGAAACCCAGGCCACTTGCTTGGTAAGCAGGTGTTCTACAAAAAGCCACGCGTCTTCTTGGAATGACAGTGAAAATAACTTCATCTGCTTTGAAATGCAATGCATATAACGGTAATGCTTTGCGAACACATCCGTCCTGTATATAGGCCTCACATTGCAACATGTAGTCTCACAGTAACGCTCAGTTGTACAGGCTTACATTGCCATCGTGCGTCAGAACATGCAGTTATGATTATTTCACATGGGGCCGGGCGGAAGGGACATGCACTCGGTGTACCACCTTATGGCTACGCCGCAGTGACTTCGTGGTGCAAAGTCGGCTACCCATTATAAAATGCACTACACGTTACTTCCCGTATTTCTCGAAGACCACTTAGTGGGTGGACACCAAGTTCGAAAACGTTTCACGCGGATAACTAGTCCTGGTTTGAAGTAGGCCACCCGTTGCACAGAATGCAGCCATCTTCCGGACTAGAAGACCCAACGTCTAATGACCTATTTATTACCAATAAAGGTTGTTTGATTCTTTCTCCGAGGCAAAGCTCTTTCACCTTTGTCAATTACATTGAAGCAATGCACAGTTTGTACTTCTCGATTTGCATAATTCAATAAAAACATTGTAATAAGTAGTTATAGTACGCACTATAGTGAGGCGACATCGCTTTCGTGTTTAAGTCCTTCAATTTTTTTACAGTGCGCTGGCTGAGAGCACATCGTTGGCTTCCCAGGCATGTTAGCTGCACTGGCATGTAAGGTGGATCTTATGGTATGACGCGACGTCAGCAATCAAGCTAGAGCACAGATATATGGTCGCAACGAAGTGAACTCAATGATGCGGCTACTTGAATATCATACTCAACTTTCGTTAGTCTATTCCTCCTGCGTCGAGCAAAGCTTGAATGTAACTTGCTGAATCATAGAATAGAAATGTATTGTGAGACTGCTACAGAAGCAGAGCAGACACTAGAACCCCAATTAACTCGATTGGATGACACCGTCACTGCAGTTCATACGGAGCATTCCAAAAATAAAGAGCCAGTACTGCAACAACAACTCTCGTCCCACCAAAGTGATGCCTTCATGGGGTCTTCTTCCTCAGCAGTGTCACAAAATGGCTAGGCTCTGTGGTAGAATAATAAGTGCGAATGCACATCATAACACTAAATCCCCCATCCGCGGTGCTCCTACTCCTCTCCCCTAGCAACGGCGCGAGAAGCGGAGAGGAGCGTCGGTAGCAATGGCGCAGCGACGTCACACACCACGTGATTGCGAGCGGCCGCGCATCCGCGTCCTGCTCGAGATCGGCAAGTCGTCATAGGTATGGATCCATCGCAGGCATCGACCTCAACTGCGATACCTCTAATAATGAGTACAACGCAATCGAATGCGAGCATTGCACGCGTCGTTGAAGATGTCGCGCCGATTGAATACAAGGCAGCGCGGCGAAAGGCCCGTGATGCCGAGCGCAAGTGGGTGAAGCGGGCCGCAGACATGAACATCATTATAGTGCGAAGTTACTCTCACATATACGCGTAAACTCACCAAGATTTTCCGAGAGGGTCTAATGGTTCCTCGGAATCGCAATGTGATCACACGGGGGAGTTAACGTTAACTCACTGGTGAATGCTAACGGATGTTAACTTTACTCCCCCTCATAGCATCACCCCATGCATTCGCACTTAACGATGTTCACCCTCGGAAAAATGCTTGGGAGTTTTTTGACTGCCACGAGGAATGCTTGGGTTCTATTCTTGCGGAAATTTTGATAATTATTTTTTGCACTCGCCTGAGTAATATTGCGGATGTAGGTTTTTTTTTTACGTACTCGCATTTATTTCCTGATGTTCACTGTCAGCATTTCCTGAAAGATAGAAACTGCGAACCACATGGGGTATATACCTATACACCACGGCCACACTTATGTGGAGAAAGGGGTTCGATGACGTGCACGACAGGAGCGCACGACAGGAGTAAATCTTATTGGTTCTACCCACGTGCCTACACAAATTTTCCTTTATACTAAGCTGCGGATGTGATCTGAGAGCACACACACACACAGACAGACAGACAGACAGACAGACAGACAGACAGACAGAAAGACAGGCAGACAGACAGACAGACGGATGGACGGATGGACGGACGGACATAATCATCTTTTGTTCACTAAGAAAAATTTTGTGTTAGCATTGAAACTAACATGAACCGAGCAGCCAAACAGCACTCACATGAGAATTTCTCATCGGGATGTCTACACAGACAGATATGTGGTGCATAGTACCACAGAAGTGGCTGCTAAGCATGCTAGTATTTATACACATGATGATCAGTGGGACGATAGTTCCCATCATTTGGCACGTACCCGAATTTGCTCTGTATAATGCTGTCAATGTATACCGTGTATACTAATGACCGTGTATGTATAACAAGGTCATTGAATCCATAGCAGCGCAGCAATGGTTGTGGGCTGGTCGGATAAACCGAACGTGGCGGGATTGATTCCGGCCACTGTGGCCACATTGCGATGGAGGTGATATGCCGGGGGCCCGTATATTGTGTGTTACCAGGGCACGTTAAAGAACACCAGACAACTTCCCGAGCTTGCCACCATGGCGTCTCATATAATCATACGGTGTATTGGGGTGTAAAAGCAGAGATAATATTATTAACACGATTATTGGTTTTTCTCTCACGGTCAGGCGTGGCTCTACTGCTTTAAGGTTCTTCTTATTTTACTAAGCTTTCTTATTTCTATTTAGCGAAATCTTTCCATCTACCCTTATTTTTTGATAGGTGAACGCCAATTCTAGCTCCACTAAAATCGTCACCATACGCCTAATGCGCGCATATCAGCATAGAAGATGTTTAAAAGTGACGTGGCAATAGAAACCTAATAAAATGAATCCAAGGCTCACACGTTTATACGAAGGCATCCAAATAAAATTTCTGTTTCAATACTTGATCTATGCTCTGCTTTGAAAAACGACTCTACCATCCGGGTGCGATTTCGTGTAAACAATGAGCCTTGAGTAGGGGATCGTTTCAGCGTGAAAACAGGCCTCAAGTTGTCATGCGAGTTGAAGTTCTTGTGCATTTAATGCAGTTTCGTCGTCAAATGAGCTCACTGTGAGAATGCTGTGCTTGTATTCCATCGGGGAGACAAGCACAGCAGCGTACGCGCGGTCGCATTGACAGCGTACGCGCTGTCGCATTGAGCCACAGACTGGCGCGTCTTTTTTCTACTGAGTGACCACAGCGATTAACGAGGGCTATTTCGGTGCTGGTGTCGCATTCTCTCCTGCTACAGCAAGTGCCGCAAATGACTTGACCAGAGCAGGATGCCGGAACTTGTTTTTGGCAGGGCGGCGTCCACTGTGGCGCTATCAGAATCCGCTTTTAATTAAAGGCAGTTGCAAAGAGCCTCCCTGCGTTTGGTGTTCATTAGCCGCGTTGAGACAGTTTATATCAAAAGAAAACGAAAGTTTGTTGGTTTGTGCAAAAAGGAGGGGGAGATTTCCCCGAAGTTGCCGAAACTCAAAGGCTAAGAGTGTTAAACCGCTTCGAAGAGGTAGCAGTAGAAAAAAATCTGCGTGCTTGAGTTGTTGCGTCAGGTCATTAGCAGCTAAAGGCTAAGCTTTTCTTCTTTGAATTAGAACATGTGAGTGTAGAATAAAATAACAGGGAAGGCAGCATATATTCTCCTCTTGAGAGTTCGTTTACCAATGACGTACTGAGCGCTGCCGTTGATGCATAAGTGTACTCTTTCTTAACCGATAACAACGATGCGATGGTGTACTTACCAAAACTACGTACAAATGCAGTGATAGATGTATAATTCGTGCGCATGCAAGAAAAGGTGGTGCCATAAAATCCGACATGTTGAGTTGAGCATTGTTCACTGTATGGCGTCTTGGGTAACTCTGAAAGAGCTTGAAGATCTGCACGTGTGCGTGGCAATTTTTCAAGTACCACAAATCATTATGTACTGTCCTCTTCACTAAATTTATAAATAAAAGATTTTACATTTAAAATCAGTCTCTCTGATGACTTTAGTTGAGGTAACACATGAGACTCGCGAAAACTACTTCTAGACTGCAGTATGCTTTCTAGGAACTTAAAAGAAGCAAATTTTACGATCACTGGTCGAGATTTGCCAACTACGAATCTGCCTAGCCTGTGCGCGCGGGATATGCGGTCGTCGCTACTTCCCAAGTTTAGCTTCAGAGTTTCATTGAGGATTTGGCAAATTTTTTCTTCTGATTGCGCCCACGTTTCCGAATCGCAATCTTCTATTCCATAAAAAATCAAGTTTTCTCGGCGAGAACGATCTTCAAGTTCGTCAAGACGCTTGTTAACCAATTTCTACAGTCAGACCTTGACACTGTCTCAACCTGGTGCAATAAATGGCTTATGACTCTCAACTCTAACAAATCTAAATGCATGTCAATAACCCGGCGATCTATTTCTCCCCCCTGTACCTACAGAATTAACGCCGTTCCCCTCCAGCATGTCTCTTCATATAAGTACCTCGGCGTTTACATTACCAACAATCTATCTTGGCACACGCATGTTACCTACATCTGTAATAACGCTAACCGAACGCTAGGATACTTACGCCGCAACTTTTCTCGCGCTCCGCTGTCCCTCAAAATTCTATTATACCGATCACTAATTCGCCCAAAGCTTGAGTACGCGTCCGCTATATGGGATCCCGTGCAGCAAAATTTAATTAACGCGTTAAAATCTGTTCAGAACCGCTCAGTTCGGTTCATTTGTTCTAATTATTCCCGTACTGCTAGCATATCAGAAATGAAATCTAACCTTGACCTACCCAATTTAACTGTCCGGAGGAAACTGGCGCGACTGCATTTTTTTCATAAGATATTTTTTCACAATCCATCAATGAAGCGAGACCTCATTTTACAACCGTCATACCACTCATCGCGCAATGATCATCAGCATAAGGTTGCCATTCCGTTTTGCCGCACCAAATACTTTTCAGCAGCCTTCTTACCGAAAACAGCCGCCGATTGGAACCACCTTCCCTCTTCCGTTGTATCAATAACAGACCCTTTGTTATTCAAGACTGCAATTTCTCAGCAATGCTTGTAACTATACGCAGTTTCCATTATCTATCTTTGTTTTGTATGTGCTTGAATTCTTATACATTTTTAGTTGACTTATGTTGCCTTCCTGATTTGTGCATCTGATACTTGTTTCTTTATTTTGTCTTTTTTTCTTGTGTGTTATATATGTTGTACCCACCCCCTCTGTAATGCCCTACGGGCCCTGAGGGTATTCTAATAAATAAATAAATAAATAAACGATAGATATTGCTACGTGCCAGTGCATGGAGCTGAAGAAGACAAAGCATAATGACTGACGCGAGCTAATCTCTGTGTCGCTATTCCTCCGTCGCTTCGCAGCACGGGTAGGATCACTACGTGGCTCATAGGAGATCGGCTAAACGTCGAGCGGCAGGATCCTTTTAGCTAAGATTTGGTTGGCTTTTCATTCCTCGTATTTCTTGGTAATTTCTCTCAACTCAAACGTTGTTGCAGCCCTTTGGAGGTCAGGCAAGTCAGAATATTCTGATGTCTTTCTCATCACCTGGCCAAGGGCACTCCCCTTGGCTGGCATCACTACCGGTCAAGGATTGGCCGCTTGATACCTTGCTACGCAGTGGAGATAGCTACGTCCCTGTGGCTCTGGTTCCTACAAATGGGGGTTCTATTCCAATGAAGAATCCCAAGATGATACAAGTGGAGCTTCAGAAAGCCTCATCGCTTTTCCAGAAGATTACTGAGGCCCGCCAGTTCGGCCGAGGGGATATCCTGTGCTGCTTTGCAGATCAGGATTGCGTGCGAGAGCTTCTGAATTGCTCTGAATTTGCTGCACGGCCGGTGAGCCCGTTTATTCCAGCTCATCTTGCTTGTACGAAGGGCATAGTCTGTGGGGTCGATACGAGTCTGGCACCTCAAGAAATTCTAGACCTATTTGCTGTAGCTGGAGCAGTTTCAGTCTATCGATGCACCCGAACGACTGATAAAACAAAATCTCCTACTGAATCAGTTATAGTAGCTTTTGCAGGAAGAGTCAGACCAACAGAAATTAAGGCATGGCCACTAATCTACAAAGTAGAACCACTTTCCCCGAAACCTCTGCAGTGCTCAAAATGTTGGCGATTCGGCCACAGCATGAAAGGATGCAGATCACAGGCTAGATGTCGTCTGTGCGGAGAGAGTCATGACAGCTGCGATTGCAAATCTGATGACCAGAAGTGCTGCTTGTGTAATGGAGCGCACCCTGCAGACTCTGCTGAATGTGGCGCAAAAGAAAGAGAAATGGGTGTTCAGAAGTCATAAAAAGCAGGCGTTGCTCTAGGAGGGAGACGGTAGCAGAAATGCATGAAAGATCGAAAGGTTACGCAGGCATAACATCCCGGCACACAGCGGTAATGGATGCATCGCTCACAAAGTCTATAACTGAGGCTATTGAAAAGTCTACTGAAAAGGCAATGCAGCGTCTGGCAGCTACTCTTTTTGATGCCCTGGCTGATATGTTAACACAACAGCTGACACAAATAATGTTTTGGATTAATACGGAATACGAAAACACATAGGTGTTTGGATTAATACGGAATCTGATCTCAACTTCTTCACGTGACGTTGACAAATTCGGTTCACTTTTCCCACCTCATAGCTTTCGTCGTGTATCATCATGTCGTTGCTTTCTTTCGAGGAAACTAAATCCCTCCTTGCTAATTCTACTTGTTCATTGCTGCACATCAATGCGCGTAGTTTGCCAAAAAACTACGATAACATTATTGGATTCACTGACTTACTGTGCAATTCCTTTTCATTTTTATGTATTACTGAAACATGGCTAGGATCTTGTGATGGCAATCTGTACGGATTTCGATCGTTTAACTCTGAATATTGCCACGTTCCATTTCCCAAGTTTTTGTTATCATCCCAAAACACCACACCATTCTCAGCGCGAACCGCGCCTGCAGTTTTCGAGAAGGTTCCGGACTGTAGTAGATCATTTCGATAAGATCACGCCCACTGTGCGAACGGTACAGATTGTTCTGGAACCTACGCCGCCGCCAGCGATAACGCTAGAACATTCGACGGCAAGAGTATAAATGCCGACGCGCTTCGCCGCTTGTCAGTTGTTGATCGAAGGCCGACGCTGCGTTCGCCGGTCTAGCTGTCTCTTCTCGAGTCCTCAAGCGAGACCCGGGGTCACGTCACGCGGACGTCGACCCCAGGGTTTCAAGTCGGCAAAAGAAGTCTACGCGGCACCGGCGTCTTGTACGCCCGACCGCCGCCCCTGGGTCTCGGGCCTTGCTGCCTGGAGCCCGCCTACCCCATGCCAGGAGGAGGTGCAAGGTCCCCGGTTCACGCCCGCCATCCCGGAGCCCCCCTGCGGTCCACCTGGTACCACCAAGACCTGCGCGGCACTCGCCTCGGCTGAGCCGCTTCCTACCAGAGTGCAGCTCGACTGCACGTTACAAGTCACCCACGAGCCACGCCCAACCGGCGGCTTGCGGGCTCCACCCACCAGAATGGCCACGCCATTTGAACTCCCGGTGAGGGAGAATCGTTTCATGTTTTCCGCGCCCGAGGGCGATATCTCTGTCGATGAGTTAATTGACGCAATTGAAGAGACAGCTGGTGACGACAGCGTATTAGTACTGCAACATATGGGGGGCGCAAAATTTCTTGTATGCACCCGCAATGCTGGCCAGGCGACGAGGCTAATGGTGGCGGAAGAATTTGAAGTGAACGGGGCGAGGGTGCCAGTAGAGGCAGTCGGGCCGCCGGTTACATATGTCAACGTTTACCGTTACCCCGCTTTTCTATCAGACGAGGCCCTTAGCAACGCCTTAGCCCAGTTTGGTAAAGTGAAGGGCATTTCCTTCGCCACCCTAGCCACTCGCCAGACCAAGTTAAACGGGGTACGTGTGGTTAAAATTGAGATGTGCCGCCCAGTCCCCAACTTCATCACTATTGCGGGGCACAAAGTCATGTGCGAGTACAGAGGCATGCGCCGGGTGTGCGCGCGTTGTGGTGAAGTCGGGCATATGGCGACTGCGTGCACCACGGCGTACTGTAAGCGGTGCGGCACCTTCGGCCACGATACTGAGGGCTGCTCGGCAGACTGTAAACGTTGCGGGAGTCACCACGGAACACGCGAGTGCTTTCGTAAGCGCTCATACGCTTCGGCCGCCCGCGGCTTCCCCTCGCTATCTGAATCCGCTTCGTCGCACTCTCAGTCAAGCGGCCCCGCCTCTGCCCGAGCAACTAACTCGCCGCGTATGCAGGTCCTCACGTCCAGGTCTGCATCCCGCACAACCGAGAGGGGATCCCCTTCTGGGGACCGCGACTTAGACTCCGATCTGACTTCAGGCAGTGGCATGGGCGATCCGTCCGCCAGTGAGGGGGAGAGGCCCGGGAGTTTTGACGAGACTACCACCAGGTCGACTGAAACAGAGTCTAGCGATATCGAGACGGGTTCGGCGCAATCGTCCCCCCCTAAACCGCCTCCACCCTCGGCGAGCCGGGATGACTGTGGGAATTCGCTGACCGCGGCTGAAGCAACCCCCGAGTCCAACGAGCAGGGAGAAGCCCTCCTTGCTTTATCAAACACACCCGTCAACGTCCGGGCCCCAGTGACCAGCCCGGCCTTGGAGGCCGACACCCAAGACCCAGCCGGCGACGACGCCCCCATAAAAAGTAAAGGGTATAACTTTCCACCCGGCGACAGCGAATGCGACCATGCTGCACCGACTTCCTCCCCCGCCTCCCATTCGGCACGCCCAAGCCGGAAATCGAACGCGAAAACTGGACAGATGGCCACTGGGCTAGAGCAGAGAGCTCGCTCGCGCTCACGAATACGCCCTGATGACGATAAGCGGTATCTGGGTGAGAGGGCAGCCAGCAAGGAGGCCCGGCAGCGTAGACCCGGGCTAGCGGGCCAAAGCAGTGATAGCGACGCTCCACCACACGCGAAGGCTCAGAAGCTCGAGAAAGACGGTGTAGGCAAAGGGGAACCACCCCCCAAGCCCCGAGACGCAAGTCACTGAAGCGGCGCGCCTGCCCTGTCGGCTTCACGGCCCCTTTTCCTTCCTCTCGTTCGCTCTGGCCGCACTATGTCCCACTTGCCTTTCCTTCTCCTTCTTGTGCAGCGCCCTCCTCGCCCCTTTCTGTCGGCACGCGGCTGTCGGTTATCTTGCTCGGTGCATTCGCTCACCCCTCTTTCCTGCTCCCCTCCAGCGTTTGGCATCGTGCCCAATCGGCGGATGACGGCCACGCTGCTTGCCAGCCTCGATACTTCCCGCGTTTTGTTTTCTTCTTTTTAAGGTTTTTGATGGCCTTTTTGAAATTGGCTACGTGGAATATCCGAGGGTTTAGAGATAGGGCGAAACAAGCAGCCATCCTAGGTTTCGCTAGGAACCAGAACATAGACCTCCTCTTTATTCAAGAGGCGAATTTCCGAACGCCACTGGATGTGGTTAATTTCCGCAGAGATCATCAGACCGACGCCTTTTTCTCTCTGGCGACCACGAGAGCATGCGGGGTGGGAGTAATATTTGTATCAGGCAGATTTCGATCAAAATCCCATTGTAATTTCGGAACGAATGGTCGGTACATAATGATTGACATTTTCATCGAAGGCAAAAAGATTCGCATTGTGAACGTCTATGCCCCCGTGACAAGAAAACATACGAATAAGTTCTTTCAAGAGATGCACGAACTCCTCCTAGAGCCCATTCCCCACGTACTGGTCGGTGATTTTAATTGCGTGGTAGATTCTAACCGGGACGTGAGGGGACCAAGCCAAGGAAGATCAACCTACAATGCAAAAGAGTTGGTGAAAACCCTTCGGCACCTAAACCTCTCGGACATATGGGTACACCTCTATAAAGACCGCTTCGTACCAACCCGTACCTCTAGATCAGCAGGAAGTAGAATAGACCGGATGTACTTTCCGGACCTCCTCCTCCCTTTGGTTGAAGGATGCGAAGTACTCGCGCTCCCGGCCAACCTGAAAGAGAAGACGGATCATGCCCCGCTTGTCACGATGGTAAAGGGATCCCCCGGCCCGCACTCTGATAACAATAGCTGGAGAATAGACGCTGAGCTGCTGAGAGATGAGACTTGCGTAGAAAACTTGAAAGCTGCCATCAGCGTATCGGTAGAAAATGCCGGACATATTACCCCCCTCTGTGGGATAAACTTAAGGAAGAATGGAAGGCCCTGTTACAAAAAGAAGGCAAAGCTAGAAAAAGACGTCATACACAAAAGATGAAAGAACTTCTTCGCCGAATGCAGATCATCAAGGCAGCCGACACGTTGACCTCATGTACAACAGAGTACCTGACCTCGCTCGAGGAGCAATACAATCAACTCCTCAGAGATACCATGAGGCGACCTAAAAGTGAGCATGGACTGTTGGGCACGGCGACCGGAGTTGATGTGAGGGAAGTACGCGGAAATGGCTGTTTGCGAATTACAGAGGCGAAGCGCTTAGATGGTTCTGTAACCGACGACCCAGCAGAAATTGAGAACATCTTCAGAGAGTACTTCAGCATACAGTTCCAAGACACCGAACCAATAGACACCAATCGGGGACCCGACCATGTCAAAGAACTTTGCAAACATCTGCAGCGAATTAAGGAGGAGGAGGAGCCTGCAACCCTTAGCGCTGAAGTCTCCCCTGCAGAACTTCGCGAAGCCATAAGAAGCATGACCCCCAATTCTGCCCCAGGCGCTGATGGCCTGACTGCAGCCTTCTATGTGACTTTTCTCGAAGTTCTCGAAGAACCCTTGCTCGCGATGGTAAATGCGATCTTCAGGTCCTTTAAGAAACCCGACTCCTTCGGAGTGGGTAAAATTGTCCTACTACACAAAGAGGGTGCACAACCAAACGAGCCCACGGCGTGGCGTCCAATCACGCTTTTGAACACCGATTACAAGCTGGTAGCCACTATACTGAACAACAGGCTCAAGCTCCTGTTACCGGACATCATTAGCCCGTACCAAACGTGCGCGATTCCAGGAAGGTCGCTTTTTGCGAACCTCACAGTGATCCGTGACTCTTTCGAATACGCGACGACAAGAGGTTTCAATGGTGTTTTCATTTCCCTAGACCAAGCTAAAGCTTTTGACAGGGTACGACACCATTACCTCTTCGACGTGATGCAGGAGTTTGGCTTACCGGCAAGTTTTATAAAACTGGCAAAAACTTTGTACGAGGACCTAACCTGCACCGTTCTGATAAACGGAGTCGCAACGCCGGCATTCAAGTATAGCAGAGGCATAAGGCAAGGATGCCCATTAGGCCCGACCTTTTTTGTCATGTCGTGCGAGCCGCTGATCACAAGTGTTATTGCGCATGAAGGCATTCGGGGCTTCCCACTGACGGGCCAGGAGCAGGTGAAAGTGCTGGCATACGCGGACGACATTTCCCTGTTTGTTCGGGATGAAAGCAGCCTCCAAGCCTTCAGTGCGACGTTCACAGGATACGCGCAGGCATCCGGAGCGGCGATAAATGCGGACAAGAGCAAGGCGATGCTATTTGGAACTTTCCCTAGAGAAGGCCTAGGAAACATCGAAGTGGTGTCCATCGTTAAAGTACTGGGAATCTACTTCTCCAGTGAAGGGGTGGCACCAGCCACGTGGCAGAGAGCCCTCGAGAGGGCAAAGCAGGCAGCTGCCCGCATTCGCCTCCTAAACCTTACGTTACGTGAAAAAGCGCTGGCAGCAAGGACCACCGTTTGCGCGTTTGCGTTCTACGCCAGTAGGGTAGCAGTGATCCCTAGGAAAACCGCGAGCCAACTGAACGCCGTGATCACCGATTTGCTATGGGAAGGGAAACCAGCACCAGTCAAGCGACACCTCCTTCAACTACCCGAGGACAAAGGTGGCCTCGGTCTCCCACACCTACAAATGACCAGCCAGATACTGGCCCTCAAGATTACCCGCACGCTTTATTACGCAGCCAGTTACGTTGGGAAGAATCTAATCAACTACTGGACAAGCACCATCACGCACTATCTGGAAAACCACAAACACACTGGCCCGCGCGCGGAAGCGCCCTCACACTTTTACAGAATGGCGGCAACTACGACAAAGATCATAGAAAAAGAAGCCCCGAACTGCGACATCGACAAGGACCCACCCGCCCGAATTGTCGAAGCGATAACAGAAAACCAGTTGTCCGAAGAAGAAAAGGAGCACATCAAAAGCCTAGGACTGTGCAAACAAAAAATCAATAAGTACCGACCGCGCGAAGTACATGACTTCGAGTGGAAGTGCAAGTGGCAAGTTTTGCCCCCCGAGACATCGCCTGCACCGTTTCGGCATCACGCCGAATAGCCAGTGTCCTAATTGCCGCGCTGAGGAAACGATTTCCCACGCGTTGTTAGAATGCGAGGCGGCCAAGTCGGTATGGCGCCTGGTTGCGAGGTGCTTCAGCATCCGCCCTCCCCCGGCCCTCGAAAGGAATAGGGGCTGCTTCGCAAGGCTGGTGATTTCCATCACACTCTTTGTGATTTGGAAACGCCGGTGCCTTGCTGAGGTAAAGAACACCCCAGTGAGAGCGGCCTACCCAGCACTAGCCATGATCAGGCATAAAATAGTGCAGTACTTAGCCAAGCAACTGGAAGCTGGCGGGGAGGACCAGTTCCTTCGCCGCTGGCACACAAAGTTTTTTTTCGTCAAAGGTGCGAAACTCCGTACCCCCTTAATCCCCTACTAACCCCTTCTTCCAAAAACATTGTGTTACAAGTGTATGTATAGCGCCAGTCGAAGTATTGTAAATATGCCTACCCATGTTCACGATCTGTTGTATATATGTATATGTGATTGTAAATATATATTTGTGGTTTTTTTACGAATGTATGCGTAGTTTAGCACAAACTTGTATGTATGTATGTATGTATGTGTACATGTATATGTATGTGTATATGTATGTATATATATATATATATGTATATGTGTGTGTGTATGTATGTGTATATATACATATAAATCTGTATGTGCCGCTAATTTCCTCTATGGATAATGGAGTTTGTATGCCCCATAGTGCACAAGAGGGGTGTCTAAACGAGCACTGTATGAATAAATGATGTAAAGAGTTTTTTTGAGTATGAAGTTAATAAACTTCTCTTTGTATCAGCCCGAGACTGCTATCTGTGCGAGACTGCTGCTGTAATTGGACTTTCCGTTTACCGGGCACAGGTTCGCCCAAATAAACAGTCAAATCCCAACACGAAGTCTCCTGTCTTCGGCCATTTCACGACCCCGTGACATCTGGTGGAGGTGCTGGGTACACGGCTTGACGGGGGCGTCCGGTACATGAACGAAGCAGCACCTCCACCAGTTTGGTGTGGTGTTTTGGGACGATAACAAAAACTTGGGAAATGGAACGTGGCAATATTGTCACTGCGATTCGGGTCGCTACGGCGGCTCGGCCATATTTATATCGCCCGAGATAAAGTACAAGCGCAGGACTGACCTATTTTGAATATTCTGAACTGTGAATCTGTATGGATCGAAGCTGCCGTCCCCTCCTCTGTTAATCTAAATAAAGTGATCATTGCATGCATTTACCGTTCTGCATCTTCGTCTATTCCGCATTTTCTACATAATTTAGCTGCTGTACTTGACATTATCACCGCATAAAATAAGCAAGTTGTTTTAATTGGTGATATCAACATTAACCTAACGGA